TGCATGATCGGCTTTGTCTATTAAAAGGATGTTTTAGTTTAACTACACACATACACGAACGTTATTTGAAAAGGAGAGCAAGTTAGTATTGAGAGCGGATTCACACACCTATATGGAAATTGTTACAATTAGCAAAACAATTGAACCAGGTAAAAAGAATATCATCACATTTGAACCGAAATGCGAAATCGACCAAGATGATGCAAAAGTTGAAGAAATTAATAACAATCCTTCACAGTCACTTCGTGGTGGAGGCGATCTATTTGACATGTAAGTGTTTGACCTTACCTTCTAGGTTGGAATATGATTAAGTACTTTACGACTCTTCTCATTTTAGCTGTTGTATTGCATGTACAGCCTGCTGTGTTTGCGAAGCAATCGAATGTGCTGAATGCTGCGAAGATTGTTGTTAAGGTGTCTGGATATACTAATGACTTCCCTCACGTATATATAAAGCGCTCTTCAGTTATTTTTCAATGAGTTAAATTATGTTTCTTAAAATTGGTGATGTGTGGCTGGTTACTTTCCTACGCACACAATCGATTTGGTCGCCAAAACGCTTCAGTAAAAATGGATAGTCACATAGACCACTTTAACATTCGTTTTACATGGACAGGTGTATAAGGAGCAACAAATGCTACAATATCAAAAACTGATTTGGTTTCATAACAAACAGGATGGATTATCCCGATGACTGGGAAATGAAAGTATTGGATATTGAGTACAATTTTGATTTTCAACTTCTGCTCTACATGTCCATTGTCCATCTCCCCTGATTTATGCGTATAACCAGCATCAGAGTCATGATCACAAAGTCATTCACCGATATTTTATATAGGTAGTGGAAGCGATTTTACTTTCTAGACAGCGCTGTTTTTTTGTACTTTTTTAGGCGTTGAAAATAGCTAACAAGTTGAATATAAAATTTGTTTTTAAATTTATAGCGTTAGAACTCACTTTAACGCTTTGATGAATAGCAAAAAATAATTTTTGTTTAAACTAAATGATATCTTAAAAGTTCAAGAACAGACAAACAAATGTCTAATACCGGAAGAAACGTCTACTGCAAACGGACGGACTGACATTTCGTTTGTATGATCCTAGACTTCCAGTCAAGGGAATAATTTGCAGAAGTGCTCAACGTCAAACGAATAGATTTCATCGCCTTTGCCCGTTCTCATCTATTTTCCCATTGGATTTGTTAACATCATGATCTTGAGTTATGAATTTAGATTCATAAAGATCGAAATCTAATCATGCAAAAACGAAACGATGTCTATTTTGAGCTTAATATGCGACATAAAAAGTGAACTAAATATGAACAAACCGAATCTTACAAACATTGGGCAGATTGTTTCTACCTAATTTTAAAAATTTTTAATTCACTTAAAAAAACACCAGAACAAACTCAAAACTTCAGACAGTACAGTATTTATGCTGCTCTAGGCTATAGTTATAAGAAGTCTAGAAAAATAAGTTTGCAAAACACGATAGTTTTACGAAAAGATTTTTGAGACACTTTTGAGCAAAAATATGGCTTTCGACTTTTTCGACAATATGCACACGTTTACCTAGGTATGCATCCGTTACAGTTTTACAGTTAATTGTAACTGAAGCATGCCTATGCTTACCGGACAAACTAAGCCGTATCCCGACGTTTTGTTTCGTCTATTGCTAAAAATAAACATTGGCACGAGATTTAGCGTGATCGATTACGTATGTTTCGTGCGATGTCAAGATCAGTCCAAGTCACTGGATGCCAGCCCGGAGACTCTATTGAAACCCGATACTACGACCGCACCGCTGAAAATCGTTGCCTCTCTTGACTCCCGTTTTGAAGAGGACGCTTTAGGGTACCTACCCATATAAAAAAATCCAAATATTTATATCATAAACTTTTTAGTAATATCATAGTTTTCTAAAGATTCTCTGAGAGACCTACTTTAAAAGAAGATTTTTAAAATGACATTCGTGATGAAAAGATGTACTTAGGCCTTGGCTTCCAATTGAAGAAGACCGCAAGTATCTACCGCTTTTCTGTCAAACGTTATTCAAACAACATCCGAGTCCATTCTTCTTTCTACCAACTATAGAGAACGCACTGAGTGAAGCACAAAACAGAAGATAAATTGGTACATGTGTTTATTTTATGCTATCATTCGCAAACTTCTTTACATCTGACGTGTTTCATTCTTGTACATCTGGTGTTTCTGTTGATTTCGTGTTGTACCGTTGATTGTATGATATTGAACAAGTTTTTACGTTAAAATTGTTTCTGGGGTGAGTTATGTCAATTCACAATATCAGGGTATAGTATTTCCGTTGATGCTTGGATTGGTTCTGATATTCGGTAAGAAGAAACATTCAATAATTACTATTACTGATTAAACTGACTATTAGCGTCATACTTCTGATGATTGTGTTTGACTGTATTTCCAATACGATGTCATTTCTCACATTTTGTCGGCCAAAATCTTATATAGGCGAGTATGGTATTTATTTGTTGATTCTATCACTTACAGGCCACTTAGGATGGTTTCTGTTAGGTGTACGTAAGCCAAATGAGTTTGTGGCAGAACGCACAAACTGTCATTTATAGTTGTGTTGTTGTCGAATATTTTCTGTTACTTGTTCCTACATTTTATGATTGGTTAACGGCATGCATTGCAGTTGAAAGAGCGGCAACTGTTTTGAAAGGTGTCAAATTTGATAAATCGTTGAGCAGAAACACGCGGTACTGATTATTTCTTTATTGTTTATTGTTATTTGAAGTAGTAATTTAAATGAAAATAACTATCCTCGGCTTTTTGATGATCCTCGATGCTACAAAATTCAACATTTCTTGGTTAAAATACAAGCACGTACGTCTTGAAAGTTATTCTAAAAAGTACGTGTTTCTATTTTCATATATACCATTCGATGTGCCTTGAAAAGCTTTACATGATGATGTATTTGGTTTTGCAATTGCGACATAGTTATCTTATTCGACAGGGTCCTTTATTTATTGTTCCACGAACTTTTGGTTAGCCCTAAGTAAAAATAAATCAATCAATCAATCGAAAGATGAGTATTACATATAACAATTACTTATAAACTACTAGTCTAAGTCGAAATGATATTAGAAAGAATCTTTCTTTATTCACCACTAATCCTTTTCGTTCATTCCTCTTATATGTTACTTCAGTCTACATCACTAAGATAATGAAGTTCCACTTCGGTTTTCGTTCCCCACATTTCCTATCTAAGCTAAAATTCTATTTATTTGCATTAGGTGCTGTAATATATATGAAGTTGCTTTGTACAAACTATTTCTTTGCCATTAATTCACTTTCGTGTTTAATAAGTTGCAACTACAGTTTGATAAATAAAACGATTAGATACACTAACATCCGACAGCATAGTTACAAAATACTGGACATTCATTTTAATCAGTCAAACTCAAAATGTCTGAAAAATCACAGACTGTTCCGATGATGATATGAAGAAATACTATCGAGTTTAAAAGCGCTGCCGCCATCGTCCAGTACATATTAGTTCATCGCAGTAGATAGAAACCATCATACTGATTGTGAAAATGACCTTTTTGTTAGTCCTGGGAAAACTTTTAAATACACATTTTACAATCAAACTATTTTTCTGCGACACTTTATAACCTTCTCAACGACGAAGTTATCACGCTCTACTGGTATAACAGGAAATAACCGCTTTCACAATTATTCTTTTACTTGAATTCACATCTTTTTATGTAATATTTTCACATAAAGTCCGCTATCTATTGAAGAAAAAATGCTACACACAATTGTTTGGAATGTTTAACGTTGTGCATGTAAATATAAGTTTTGTATGAGGATGATGAGTAACTTTTATCTTTCCTTGTTAACATTAACTGCCTCGTGTTTTGCCGAATCCATTATTTGCTCATCATATGTACACATTTCTGATAATTCACTATACTAACATGAGACTGATGGAGACGAAATGAGTCTTGCGCCATCCGAAAGAGTACATTTGAATGTGCCAAGAAGCGATCTCAGATCTTCTTCCTATCACCTTCAGAATGAAGTACAAAATTCAAAATTTTTCAAGTTTTTAAGACATTTTGATTTGTGTTCAATTAAGACGGCGTCTTAAGCCTTAGGACCATCTTCTAATGTAGATTGCATATGTAAGACGTTTCACAGCTTTAACATAAGCATAGCATTTGTATACAAATATAATAGTCAATCAATTAACTGTAGCACTCAGTATAAAGATTTGTTAATCTGACTCTTTCTGCGGAGCTAGAGGATGTGTTACTGGTGATTTTAACTTCCGCTGAACGTCTGGAAGATCTCTGATTCTTATGATAAAAGAATAACTCATATTATAATCTTCTTCGTCCAACGAATCGAGAGTTCCATTTAAACAGAGCGACATCGTTCCGGTTGGCAAATCGTACACATATTTGCATGCGCACGATGCATCGACGTTTCCTGATCCATCACATGAAAGAAGAGCGACTTGTTTTTTTCGTAAAAAAGCATAAAGTACTGTTTTACAGAGACATACGTAGATACTTTTTCTCCGGAAAAGTTTTTGCAGTTAAAATTTGATTAATATTCTCAACTAAACTTGTTGACCTTGTATCAAATTTTGACGAATTTTGTTGAGTTATACTTCCAAAAACTTCTCAAAAAAATTTTCAGAAAACTCAAAAGTTAAAAATAAACTCAGCTTTTAGCATATTAGACATAATTAAAATTGCACGTATTGTAACGCTGCTAGCTTTCCAAAATAATTCCTTCGTGGTTTTGACAATACATTTTTAAATGTAAATCTGTTGAAAAAGAGGTTCTTGCAAAGCAAATTCTAGTCCTACCGAGCCAGTCCTTTCAAAGAATCATTTTCAATAATTGTCCCTACAGCAAAACATGGTCAACAAGATGAACTATGGATTTCGACGTTTTGTGGAAAAGAAATCTTTTATGAGAACTATAATAAATTTAAAAAAAGCTTTTGAATTCTTTTTTTTAATAGAAAAAGCATTTTTCAACCGTTTTATTTTATTTTAACTCAAAGTGGCTACATAAAAATCTTATGATAATCAAAAAAACAACTTTTTTCATCTTTTACAATTTCGTTGAAGGCGTGATTCAATCCATGTTAAAGATATGTCGACCGAAAGTGTGGAAAAACCAATTGGAGAAGTATTGTTCAAAAACCGGCAACTAACTACAATGATAAGAAAATGAACGATATTAACATATTGGTAAATACTACACGTGCTGAAAGTAATTGACTGAAAACCAATACAATAACTCGAAATTTATTGCTTAATGTTCGTAACAGGTGGACTTTTGTCCACCTGTTACGAATTTGAAAAGGACACCTGACAAATCAGTACAGAAAATTTAAATTTACAAGTTAAGGGCCT